TAAGTGACTTCTAGGACTCGTAAGAGTATACCTCTTCGTCACTAGCATTTCCATCATCGATCAATGAAACGTCGTTTGATTGTTCATCACTGTTCTGCTGATCCTATCAATAAACTTAAATTTTATTAATACACTCAGGGGATTCCTGCGCATTCACTTAGGGATAAAGAATTTGTAAAGACAAGCATTTTTTTTTTGTTAAGTTATAGCAGTCATTCGATGATTATTTAAGTAAATATGTGTGAAGGCCATCGTGTTGGTCTCTCCTGCTCTTGCGAGAAAAACTAAGGGAATTTGTAAGAATGCCGACCAGGAAGCGGATCACAATAGCTTTGGCCTGTCTTGCTCAGATTCCTAAAAGGACCTTGAAACGCATAATCATCGTAATCTCAAGAAAAACGCATACAGACTAGTAAGACGCAATGTTCTCGTTACTGAAAAATATAAGACGGCGCATATTTGTGAGCAACGTTTTTCAAGATAGCAAAAGAAATCTAGGCACATTCGTGTGAATGGCATTCTTAAACTTTGGATGTAGTAAAAAGTGTTTGGAATAATGGACGATCACTGCACCTCGATGGCCTCGAAGAATCCCACTGAAGGTTAATAAAGCATTAATGGTCGAAAAGAGTGAACTTATCGTATATGGACTGGTTGCTTCCATAGGTAGATCCAGGGCGGTTTGCTGAAGGGGAGGGCGATGAATGGGGAGAAGGGAATGGAGCTCCTAGCGGTGACAATCGGGGCGGAGAAGGGGGGGAGGGGAGGGGGATAAGGATCCTTTTCGGAAATGCTGAAATGATTCAGTCAGATAAAAGAAAAAGATGGTAAAATAGAGTGAGCGTTCAGTGGTCAACTACACTCTTTTACGGCCACATTTTTCGCCCCCTTCCTTTTCCAAAAGAATAGTTTATGCTTCATGCTGGGAACTTGGTGAAGACTTTCCTTTTCCTTCCTTTTGATTACTTTTAATTGTCTTTATTTCTGAGTACATCCCACTACTTTTTTAACAATAACATACCTTGAATAGCATAATTAAGTATTCCGAGCCATCACTTCCAATAAATGTTTTCCACTCCGTTTCCTCTGCTGGTAAAAACTCATCGGTCGTATTATTCCCCTGTTCGGACCTGCACTCGCAACTGCTTGCAGTCATGTTGAAACAGTCGCAATCCCACTCACCAAAATTTACTTTCTGAAAACAGAATTGGCTTATTATTCTCAGCTTTATACACGGTACTAGAAAATGGTCGCTGAAAAAAAAGAAAAAACGAAAAAACGACCATCGTGTTTCCTCGCCAAAGCCTTAATAAAGAGTTCTGGGAGGAAGTGGGTAGCGGTTTTTAATTTTTTTCCTTAAAAGTGTTTTTGATAAAGAGTGTTTCTGGGAATAATAGCGGAAAGAAACAATAAAAGATGGACCAAGATTAAATAAGGAAAATAGAAAGCGTTTATTATATAAAGAATTCATAAAAACATTGCAATAGGCAGGGACAGGAAGTGTAAGGTAATGTTTGGTCTACTGAGTTAATAAAAAAGAATCAAGACTATTTATTTTTTATGCGTTTTTTGCAGCAATGCAATGCGAAAAACGCATATTGACGAGAGGTTGT